CCCCCCTGCCCAATACAAGCCATCGGGTGCAAGCCATGGCTTCACCCACACGTCTCCTTGGAACCTCCCAATAATGATGTCGGTTTTCATTATTTTATTCTGATTTTTGTTTATGTCCTTACAGCTCGCTATCAGAATGAACTGGCGCTCGTGAACACGGAGAAGTTAGCGGAGAGATTTTACTACCAAGCACTGACTGTTGTCCCGCAGATGGGTGAGTCTTTACAGAGTAGATGAGCTCCAGGTATCAAAAGGCAAAACGTCTTCCGTAATAAGTATTGTTATATTCGTGCCTTTTTTTTATATAGCTTTAATTTAGCTGATGAGGACTCTGGAGCTGAGAGTCGGTGCTGAGAGGGCCCTCTGAGTTCTTACAGTTGCTGCCCTTGTAGCTCCCTGACCTCCTGCAGATAACGCATGCTTCCAAACCGCTCCCGAGTGTGAATAACAATGTTCAGCATCATGTAAGTAGCAGGGCTGTGTTTATGCACACTCAGGAGTCGGGAGACCACGCGTGTTCTCAATATGAGATCAGGTCTTTTACAAGGCAGCATCTAAAGGTTAAGTCCTGGGGGCGTGAAGCCGGCATCCCAGGCAATCAGCATGAAGCCAGATTCCTGGCCAATTAGGAAGGCAGGAGGTGGGCCATTATCCGCGGCGCCGCTTCCTGATTGGCCGGGAAGCAGGCTCCATGCTGTTTGGCCAGCTCGATGTTGATTGGCTGGAAAGCCAGCTTCCCAGCCAGTCGGCAAGAAACTGGCTCCTGGCCAATCAGGAAGCCGGGTCATTACCCGCAGCCCGGCTTCCTGATTGGCTGGGAAGCCGGCTTCCTGGCCTAGCACCATTGAGCCAGCCAAACAGCATGGCGCCGGCTTCCTGGCCAATCAGGAAGCCGGGCCACAAGTCATTACCTGTGGCCCACCTTCTTGATTGGTCGGAAAGCCAGCTCCATGTTACCTCGCAGCACTGCCGGTCAGGGGAAATCTCCCTCTGACCAGAAGTTCTGGTATCGGAGGTGAGTATCGTAGCATTTGGGCGAATATGAGTACTCGCCCAAATACTCGGTATCTGCACCAATACTAGTATCGGTGTATCCCTAGTGAACAGTATCTGCCCGGCGGAACTAAATGAACCCCTCTGTCTCAACTTTTCTAAGAGAAAAACTGCATATACAAATTTTTTTAAAAGCGTCGAGCCAACAAATGAAAAGGAAATCAACTTGTTACTAAAAGTAAAGTTCCTCTATAAACACCTGGAAGATATTTTGCCCAATATGCTCGCTTTGTTTTATATTTTTGTCACTTGTGATTTATTGATGATGTGTAAAGCTCAAAACTATTCACATGCTCGTGTTTTATACATCTCTGAAAAAGTAGCACACTTAATCGCCGAAAGAAAGCATTTCATACTTTTACTGGCATATGAGAGGTTAATGACGTCGCATGGCTGCCTGGATGACATTTTGTGTTCTTCCCCGTCGCAGGAATGCCATTTAACCAGCTCGGCACATTGGCGGGGAGCAAATATTACCACGTGGAGGCCACTTACTGCTACCTGCGCTGGTGAGTGACATCGCAGATTGCGCACTGCCCCGGCTGCATACCTGGGTCTGTTTTGTAGATTTATTATTTGTGTCAGCAGGGGCGCAGCAGTGTTCTTATTCCTGCTGTTCTAGATCCATTTAGAAAAACATTTTTATAGAAAAGGTTACACCGTAGTCTGACTCGCATCCACATTACAGGCAGGGTTAGCAAAGTTGCAGTCACGTGTCTGATTACTATTAAACAATAAAGCAGCCCTGCGTTATAGTCCGCCCTGACCATATATCCACCATTTCTGGGGCCATTGAGGGACACGGATTCAGAAGTTGCTGGGTTATATTGCTGCCTAACCCAGGAATCATTTGTAATGTCCAAATTGGAATACTTAGATTGGGTGAAGCAAACGTTTTAATTTTTAATTTTTTCTGCAGTATCCAGTCTGAAGTCTCGTTTGAGGGCGCATATGGGAACCTGAAGAGACTGTACGACAAGGCAGCTAAAATGTTTCATCAGCTGAAGAAGATGGAGAACCGGAAGTTGTCACCCAGCAAGAAGCGGTAAGAGTGGCTGTTTGAACACACATTACACAGTTCTGGGCCACTCTTTTCACTAGAGATATACCGATACCGATACTAGTATCGATGCCGAGTATTTGGACGAGTACCGGAAAGCTTCGGGAAGCCGGCTTCATGTTCCCTCGTGACGAGGGAGCATGGAGCCGGTTTCCCGGCCAATGAGGAAGCCAGGTGCCGCGTCATTACACGCTGCCCGGCTTCCTGATTGGCCAAAAAGCCAGCTCAATGCTTTCTTGTCACCTAGTGACGAGAAGCATGGAGACGGCTTCCCTGCTAATTGGGATGCTGGGTGGCGATTCTTTACACGCCGCCCGGCTAATCGGGACACCTGGTGGTGAGTCATTACAGGTTGCCTGGCTTCCTTTATGGGACTTCTGGTATCGGTATCTGCGAGTACTGAAAAAAATATCTGTACTCGATACTGAAAAACCAGTATCAATGCATCCCTAGTTTTCACCTTAAGAAACCCACCCTGGGGCATGCCATGCGACTATTGCTGGAGTGCTCTGTAGGGCTTAAACATGACCGATTTGGGTATTCTGTTCCTAATTGTACTCTGTTTAATTTTCAGCTGTAAGGACATAAAACGATTGCTGGTCAGCTTCATGTACCTGCATAGACTACTGCAACCAAAGAGCAGGTCAGTGACTTCTCTTCTATCCCAACAATTGTTGCTAGATACGTCCATTAAAGTTTAAGTCCACCATTTTTATTTTATTTCACATTTTGGATAGAGTGGGGACAGATTAAAACCGATGAACTTGTCTCTTGATGGGAAACAAAGTATAAAACTGTCTTCTGGGTTATATAAACCATTTGAAAATGAATAATAACAATTGGAAATGATAATGCAAAATACTAATGCAAGGATTAGAACCCTTGTTGGGTTATCCTGGGCTTGTTTCGGA